ACTGCTGGAGCGAACTCCTTCCGCCTTGAGCAGCGAAAGCGGATCGCTGACCGCGCGTCCAGCAGCGGAGAGGGTCGAGGACGGCGCCCGCGGCGTCGGATCTCCAATGAACCTGTGGACTCTCTTCGCTCCCTTATCTACCCCAACGCGCAGCCGAGCAGACCAGTCTGCGCGGCTCTGCGCAGAATACTTGGCGTCAGCAGCCTGAACAGCTTCGCGCGCCTGAGCACGCAGATCAGCGAGTGGCTCGATATCCCCATCCGATGCTAAAAAGGCGGGGACCTTCTGAGCCACGCGACTGAAGAGCTGCTCGCCGTCAGCCTTCACGGCCGAGACGTCGGGCGGAGGCTCCGCCAGCAAGCCGCCCAACCTCGCAGCAGCGGCGCGCGCGCCTCCGCGGCGAGAGCGAATGAAAGCGCGAAGCTGTTGCCCGAACCATCTGATGGCTCGGCGAGCCGGGCGCCGCGCTTCCCCGTCTTTGGCCAGAATGGGTTCCCGCGAAAGTTGGGGGCCGAGGTCTCGGGCGCCGAGCTTGGGGGGGGGGCTCGGACATGGGGGGCGAGGTCGCGCTCGGCATGGTCAGCCCAACGGCGGTGAAGCGGCCCCAACAACCTCTCGGCCCCATCCAAATCAAATCCCTTCCATAAGACACTGCTCCGCCGAAGCAGCGAGGGCGATCTCTCCATCCCAACGGCTGTCCTGGGGGGAGGGGCCGATCACCTGCCTACAGGGCAAGGGCGGGGCAGGGTGGGATAGGGCCCTGAACGCGAGGGCCCTGAGGGCGGCCAGCTGGGGATGGAACGCGAACTGGACATGGCGATGGGCCGAGAGCTCCGTGTCCAACGGCGCCTCGATCGACTTGACGCCCTTTGACAAACCTCCTGAACACGCGAAATAATCGAACGTGGTGGGAGGGCCAGCGGGGTAATGAATGGCAGCCGCATGAACAAATGTGGCTGCCCTTCAGCTCAGAGACGCAAGAAGAAGACTCGAGCTCGGCTGGCTCAAAATTGAAATCGGCCCCGAGCACCCGCGGCTGGCCGACTGCCGACAGCTGCGCACCTAAGTTGGCCAGCTGGCCGAGATTGGAGTCGCTGAGGCCTTCATAGTGGCGCAGGTAAACGGACGCGCCGACAATGGGGGGGGCCAAGGGAGGTGGGCCGAGCAAGCGATGCATCTCCCTAGCGCCGCGATGGCACCATCGATGGTCAGGCAACCCATCCAGGGACGCACGAATATGGCAACCCCTTCCACTGGAATCCTGAGCCTGGGTGCGGATGGCTGGGGCCCAGACCGACTTCCATCCACTGCGGGTGCGCCGAGCGCTGGCCTGCTCGATGTTCTCCTTCGAGATCAGACGGTGCTCTTGGGCGAGCACAAGGTGGGCGGAACAATCTTCCAGACCCGTCAACGTGCCCCGTGAGTCGGCATTGATGGCGCGGATCGCAGGGGGCGCCAGACTACCAGCTGAGAGGCCACCCGAAGAGTGCTCGCTGCCAGTGCGAGGGGCTGGCAGCGGAAGGCTCGTGCTGCTAGCCTCATTGCGTAGCGACGCATTCAAACTAGCAGAGCTGCGCGCGCAGCTGTGCATTCCCGAGCGACGAGACACGCGCCCGGGCGCCTCGCCAAGCTTAGCGCGGGGGCGGGAGGAGGCCGCGGCGGGGGGGGGGGGGGGGCGCGTCGTCCTTGCGCGATGGCTTACCAAGGGAGATCACAGGATACAGCGCCCTTGGCGACGAGAAGCCAGCGGGGCGCTGGCAACTGCTTATGACTGCTTGGCGGCGCGTGGCGACTTACCTGAGGTCCCACTCTTGCGCCGAAGGTAGGCTTGGGCAGTTGAAGGGCCCTTCTTGCGCACATCCAAATCATCTAGTCCCCCCTGGGTGATGCAGAGCGAGCGACTGACCAACGGACCCCGCGCGACAGACGGAGCCGACCGACGAGCAGGGGTCTCGATGGCGCGCCTCAGGGTGGGGCGGGGGGGAATCGGATTGAGGGGCCACGCCTGCGACGCGATCAGCGCGCGCGGGCGGAGCCAGCTGTCGGGGCCCAGGCGGGGCCCCCGCCGCTGGCCTCGGTGCCCGTCGTCGCCGCTGCGGCGGCACCAGGCAGCGGCGGGGCGCCCTGCCCGTTGGCCCTGGCTCCCGCGGCTGGGCCTGGAGAAGCTAGCGCAGGAGGTCCCGCGCCCGCTGGAGACGCAGGGGCTGGGCGCCCAGCCGCGGCAGCTCCAGCCCCAGGGCGCGGGGCGGCTGGCAGAGCGCCTCCACCGCCCTGCAGCTCTGCCTCCTCGTCCTCGTTGGTGCGTCTCCGCTTGGCTGCCAACCTCTCGAGGTGCGCCGCGCGCGTCTGCCTAAGCTCGCCCATCTTCTGCATAGCATCCGAAAACAAAGCTCCTGCCATGGACGAGAGGCCCTGTCTGAGCTGCTGCACGCGCGACTCGAAATACATATTGTCTTCTTCGTCGAGGTCATGGCCGTCGCATCTGAACAATTCACAAACACTCATGTCGAAGACCTGCGCAAAACGATTCGTTATGGTCCATGATGTCCTCCAGCGAAAGCTTGGACTGAGACGAGGGCAGCTTGTCTTTCGGCAACTCCTGGGACTCGAGCAGGCACAACACCAGACTGTTGTGCTCGGCCTCTGCCGTGATGAGCTCACTGCGAAGCTCCAGGACCACCGACTTCTGCTCGGCGAGCTTGCGTTCCAATGCCTCGTGCTTCGCCAGCGCTGACTCGAGCTTCTTATTGACGGCCCGCATCTTCCAGTGGGCCTTGCTGAGACGGACCTGAACAGACTCGGGAGCTTCCTTCGGCGCCGTGAAAGCCTTGGCGGCCCGACGACATGACTCGGCCTGCTTCCCATCGCCCAGCTTGTCGCGCAGCGTTGCCATGGTCTCGAATTCCTCCACCGAGAGGCCCGAAGTCGCAGCACCAGCTCCCATGGCCTGGGGTTGCTGGACCCCTCCTTTGGCTTGGCCGCCGCAGCCTTTGCCGAGGGAGGGCCCTCCTCCAGCTCTCCATGGGGGAACCTTGGCGTCCCACGCGGAGCTGCCGGGGTGGCCGTTGTTGACCCCAAGGGGCTGCTGGGCCGCGTCCCCCTGCCAGGCCGATGTCTGACCGGCTGAAGGCTTGTACGACGCACCGCGCTTGCAGTAGAAGAACCTCGCAGCATTCTTGGCGCACCCGCAAACACCGCACTTCCACCTTTTGCTCTGGCCTGCGTCGGCACCAGCACCAGCGCCGTACTCAGGGCCAGGAACCAAAGGGGACCAGCCAGAACCTGCGCGCCCAGGGAGACCTGGGAAGCCCTTGCCCTTTCCGAAGTACCCTTGCTGGCCCCAGGACATCGATGGGGAGGAGCCGTGGTCGTGAGCTTGGAGGGCGAACCCCAAGCCAAAGTGGAATCCGAACTGGAGTGAACCAGTCGGGGAGGTAACGTCGGGTGCAAGCACCCTGGCACTGCCGCGGACTAGCGGTATTCACCTGTTTCGCATGGAAACACAAAACCTTGAGCCACAATGGCTACGGCGGCTGACAGGGGCTGGGCGCCATGATACTGGCGTTTCCTTTCATTGGTCCTCTTGGCAAAACGGGGCCTCGCCTGAGCAGCAGGTCCAACGGGCGCTCGTCGAGCCAGGGGTGCACCTCCCGCAGGGGACAGGAGCCTCTCTGCAAGGACGCATGAAGAAGGGGTTTGGGACGGGAGGGTATGTTGCAGCACCGTTGATGCATCCTGGCTGTACTCTGATTCTCCTCTTTCCTCTCCTCCTCATCCCTCCCCCCCCCCCCGTCCCTCTCCCCACTTCCCCCCCATCTCTCCCTCCTCCCCCCCCTCCCCCCACAGCTACTAGACAATTACACATGATGAATACTACTCTCCTCTATCCCCTGACCCTGTGCGGAAGATTGTCGGCCCTCTCCGCGTCTTTTCCTTCCATACAACAATTCACACCTTGTTACTGCGCACGTTTTGTATTGTAAAAATCAGCTTGCCGCTGGTATTTCGAAATGATGATTCCGCTGCAGCGTTCATTTTCGGATCGGCCCTGTGCTCCCGTCGTTCATACTGTCGCTCTCGCCCCAGTGCGGGCCGCTTTTCTGGATCAAAGTTCTGTTTCATCGTTGTCACCCCGCACATTTCCCCTCCTCCGCCTTCCCCTGGTTCTCCTGCTCATGTTCGTCCTCGTCCTCCTCCCTCATCCTCCTTTTCCTCCTGCTCATCCTCCTGCTCACCCGCCACCTCCTCCTCGTCTTCCTCCTCCTCTCCTCTACGAAGCTTACCCTTTTCCGATTGCGCCTAACACAATTGGGTCTTGGTTGGAGTTCTATGATACGCGCCCGCAGATACGAAACAACTCAGCGCAGTGTGAAGGGATGGGAGGGAGGGATAGGATGTCAGATCTGACGCGAGCACACCGAGCTTGACATGGATACTACTTCTTTCCCACCTGAAGATGACTGGGGAGTGGCCCGCCCTCGTCCACGTACTGGTTCTTACGCACAGGACTTCACGGAGATATTATGGCCCCGGCCATGATATTCACCCCCTGGTCATCAGCCCCCTCTAGGCTGCCGCCGACCCTGGGCAAGTTCCACTGTCGTTGCCTCTGATCTCCTGTCCCTGCCAGAGGAGAGCTGCTGCAGGACGAGGCGCAGAGATTAGGACACGCCTCCACCGCTCGGATGCACTGGTCCCCCCAGGGCGCCAGAAGCGCGAGGTGGAAGTGCTCACATCCAGAGAGCGCGTGCTCGGCACAGAAATGCCCCAGGGCGGCGGGCGATGGGCCTGGGGCCCAGGGTGGGGATCGAGGACCGAGTAGGGCCGAGGATCGATGGGCATCGAGGACGGAGGATCTAGGGGCATCGAACACCAAGGAGGACGGAGGAGGAGAGTTGAGACAGGGGCGCGGCGCCGCGATCCCCAGGTGCTGGGCGCGGCGCAGCTTGAAGCCTGGGCGGGCCATCGGGGAGAGCCACCCTCGTGGACGGCAGCCCCCCTCACCCCACCACCAAAAGCTCCATGATCTCGACGAAGGTGTCCTCACCGTCGGCGCCCTCGTAGCTGCGGGGTTCGACCCTGGCGCCGACCGTATGCTGCCCGGCGTCCACCTTGGCCACCGGCTGGCAGAGCGACGCGGGGTTGGTGCAGTCCCGGCAGAAGGACCCTGCCTCCGTGCCGAAGAGTTTCTCGTGCAGCTTGGGCAGGTCCTTGCCCCGGATCCCGTTGCCGTCGATGGAGAACTTCAGGTCGCTCACGCTCTTGCGCGCGGGGAGGTCTTCGGGCCACCACCGCTGTGACATCGAGGACACGTAACCGGCTTTGCCATCGCACCTCCAACCGCACGGGGCTCCACAGAGGAGCACGTACATACCGTCGTTGGGTGCCACGAAGTTGAGTTTCAGCTCTCCGGACGTCTTGTTGCCCCTATAGACCCAACGCTTGTCTACCGCCTCACGGCCGCGCTCCGCAGCCTGATAGGAGATGCTGTACTCCCATGTGTCGTCCGACTTGTCCGAATGGCGCGACCCCTTCAAAGCGGTGCCCTGGGAGGTGGGGAACATCCCGGTCTTGCACTGGCTCACCCTGAGCGTGCCGCACTGCGGCTCCTCCAGCTGGCCGACGATGGGCTTCCCGACCAGGGGGTTGTTGTCCGAGGGCCCCTTCATGCGCCTGGGCACCGGCCCCTCGCCAAGGGCGCTCTTGAGGTTGGTGAGGAAGAAGTGCGCCATGGACGAGGCGATCAGGGTGTGGCCCAGGGGCCCTGGATGCCAATTGTACTTGAACGCCTTCTCCCGAGCCTGGTACCAAGGAATCGAAACCAGCTGTGCAGTGCCAGCGCCGACGGCGACCGGATAGAAAGCGTGGCCAGATCTCTCGAATGCTGGTGCCACTCCTGTCTGCTGGAGCCAAATGTCTTTCGCTGGAACGCGCTCGTCGGGGTGCTCCTCGAGCCCATCACACTTGCGGGACCTCAGCTCCCGACTGAACCTGTCGACCTCTGCGTTGGAGATGAACTCCTCCGTGAGATACCACTCGTTCGGCTTATATTCACGTTTGTCAGGGTGCCAAGTATCGTCGTCCTTCATGGCCATCGCCGCATCGCGCGCAGCAACCCGGATATCACCGCATCCGGTCTCAGTGTTCCCTAGTCTGTTCTTTAGCAGGGTGTCGAAGGGGATGTTGCTGTCAGCGAACGCGAAGACCATCGGGCGGCTCTTCATGGCAGCTGCCTCGTTGAGGAAGTGATGGCCCTCGCAGGGAGGATCGCGGAAATAGTGCCACTCCCAACTCAAAGCGTCTACCCCTTCGCCCGCGCGGCTGGCAAGGCAGCCGGCTCCGAAAGGCATCTCCCCAAAGCCGCCAGCAGAACGCTGGCGCATCTCGAAGCCGAATCCCAGGTCCTCAAAGGTCGGCTTCAGCATGCGCTCAAGCTCGAATGGCCAGCTCTGGTTCATGAAGTTGTCGTGGCCAGCGGACACGGACGAACCGAAGGCCGCGAACACAAAGGTCCCGTGCTTCTGAAACTTCTGAAGCAGCCTCTCCTGGAGGACGAGGAGGAGGACGACTTCCTCCCTCCTCCTTCCTCCCACCTCCCTCCTCCTTCCTCCTTCCTCATTCTTCCTCCTCATCATTCTTCCTTCTCCTTCCTCATTCCTCCTCCTTCCTCCTTCCTCCTCCTTCCTGCAGAGCCCTGCCCTCGTCGCGGGGCGGGAGGGCACCGAAGATACCCTCCAGTATCTCTTTGCCCTTCTGAGGCCACATGTTCTCAAGCTTGTCAATGGCGGCCTTGGGAGAACCAATCACTGCACACACATACACGTCGATCGGAAGAAGTAGGTGAACAAATTAAGTAGGAAGGCGTTGGAAGTAGATTGGGCTTCCGCCCGCGAAGAGAAGGGAAAAGGTAAAACCGCTCGACCCTTGAAGTAGGAAGGCGTTTAAAACAGATCTGGGATCTGGGAATCCAGGAATGTCTACTTCCAACGACTGGCGGGTCAGCTTTCGGAGGCCCGCGTGGCTTTCTTAGATCGGCAGCGGGCCCCTTACCCTGGCGCGCGGAGCGCGCCAGCGGCGGCGCCAGTGGCACCGCCAGGGGGGCCAAGCGGCGATCCAAGAAATCCGCGCGGAGTTCCGAGAGTACATAATTATGGCATTTTGCTCGTCTTCGAGCCTGTATGACTTCGTTCGCATGGGTGGTGACCTGGAGGCCCGCTGCCAATCTCGCTGCGGAAGCAAACAGGACGGCCTTGCTCATGGAGGTCATGATCCACGTGCGACTGCCAGAACAATTGCGGTATCGGCGTGCGTATGTAAGTGAGGACCGGCAGCAGGACGAGGTTTCGCCTGAACCAAGTCGCCTTGACCCCAGTATGGTCACGAAGGGTAGGATGTGGAGGAGATGGAGTGGGGATCCGTAGGAGTAGGCACACGCACGCACAGAAAAAGCCGCGCCTGGACGGCGCATCGGCAGAACGTCCACATGATACGAAAGTCCTGGGAAAACTGTAAGTGATGGTATCGTGACTGCAAGCCCGCTGGAGCGCAGACACTGAGCGTAGGCCAATGCTGGGCGGCGGAAGAGAATATATGTGCGGGGCAACGTGCAAGAGGAAAAAAGGGAGGGGAGGGGAGGGGAGGGGAGGGGGGGGGGGCAACAACGACAAGGGGAAGGGGGAAGAGAGTACAGATCTAAGCATATCTGCAATGCTGTACCACGGCAGCCTCCCAATGCGCTTTTTCCACCGCAGCGCGGCAGGGGCGATCCGCACGCGCGTCCGAGTGACACTGGGGCGCGGCAGCACGAATTAGCCCACATGCAAGGGGGGAGAGTCGGAAGCTGGGCGAGGGCTGGCAAATCCATGGCTGCTAAAACGGTCTTACCGCAACAAAAAACACATTGCTGGAACAAAGCTCGGCACACTAAGTAACAAACAAGCTGCTTCCCAGAAGAAAGAACATAACTTCCCAGAGCGCCGTCTCAGCAGCCACGGGTTTGCCAGCCTTCGCCCAGCTTCTGAGAGAAGGAGGGAGGGCGGCCGCTGGAGAGGCGAGCGCGGGGGCGCACTCACGCAGCGGGACTGCAGAGGGGTGTGGGCGCGGCCAGGCTGAGGGTCCAAACTGGCAGCGGCTGCTGGACGGCTTCGCAGCGCACCCAGGGTGGGAGGTCAGCAGCCGCAGTGCGGGCGTGACCCGGCAAGGAAGGGTGGAGGTGGCGGCGGCTGAAAACCAGGTGGCTGGCGGAAGGGTGAGTAGCAGCAGCGTGGAGCCAGTGGCAGAGGTCAGCCGGCGCTGCAGCGGCTGAGCGGTTCGTGGCCCCATAGGGAGCTCCACCGAAGGCCCCAGTGGCAGGGTTTACATGCGTCCCCGCGACTGATTTCGGCACACCCCTCAAACGGTTCGTGGCCTCATAGGATGCTCCACCGAAGGCCCCAGTGGCAGGTTTTACATGCCCCCCCGCGACTCATTTCGGCATACCCCTCACACGGTTCGTGGCCCCATAGGGAGCTCCACGCAAGGCCCCAATGGCAGGTTTTACATGCGTCCCCGTGATTCATGTCGGCGCACCTCTCTCACGGTTCGTGGCCCAATAAGGAGCTTCACCCGATGCCCCAGTGGCACTGTTTACATGCGTCCCCGCGACTTATTTCGGCACACCCCTCACACGGTTCGTGGCCCCACAGGGAGTGGCACGATTTACATGCGTCTCTTGGGGCTCGGAAAGCCTATTCGTGTTCCCTCTCATGGGCCGTCGTCTTGGGGTATCGAGCTGCATTGTCGATGCGGCGCGATCCTCCAACCCCATCTGCTCTGACCCCATCTGGGAGGCCTAGACAGGTCACTCTCCCTGCCGATCAGAGGCTCTGATCGGCATCGCCCTGTCGCGACGCCGACATCCCCGCGGTTGGTACCACCTTTCATCGCCTTTCGGCGGCGAGCGAGGGGGGGCCGAAGTTACGGGGAGAAGGCCCTCTCAGAAGGCGGCGGGGCTTCTCAGAAGCCCTCGCGCCTCCTGGGAGGCTTTCTGCGTCTGCGGGGGAGGCTCAGAAAACTTCTCAGAAGGCCGGGGACTTCCGAGCCTTCTGAGAAGGCCCGCCCCTTCTCGCTTCCCCCCTGGGCTCGCCGCCGAGAGACAGGTCCCTCTCCCTATGATTGGCATCGCCCTGTCGCGATGCCGACATCCCCGCGGCTGGCATCGCCTTGGGCGTGTCAATCTCAGGGGTGGGGATGGGCCCGAGGCTGACCACGGGCAGCCCGCGGGCGGAGACGATGTGGCCGCAGCCCACTTCGGTGGCGAGTCATGGGAACCTCCCATGCCACCTTGCTGGCTGTTGCGAGTCGACGCTCGCCGACGCTGTTCGACACTAACTGGCGTGACTCGACGCTGACTCGATTCTAATTACCGCGGAATCGGCGCTCTCTCCTCGACTCCCCGGCGCGAGCTTACGCCAGTGCACTCCGAAGACGGAATTGCGAGGACATGCAAGGCTCCCATGAAGCGCTACCAAAGTCCACCCATGACGCCCGTAACTCGTCCGCACCTTCTCCACAAGCTGCCCCGACCGTGGACTCATCCCGGGCAAGCGGAACGAGGCATTTACCAGGCGCCAAGACATAGACTCGGAGACGGACGAAGGTCTTTGACAAGGGCAACTTTGCCTCACCGTGGGCCTTTGCACTGGCGCTCGCGGGCAGGATGGGTCCTCTGGAGCCAGCACCGCCGCTGTGGCCGCTGCCGGTTTGCTCAAAAGAGCGCGGGAGCCCAGTGTCCCCACCAGCGAAGCGAAAATCGTGGGAGAAAGGGACAAGCTGTGTCTGTGTCCAACACGTGGCTCGGCAACGGGGTTCGCCATACGCCTGCTGAAGGCGACCCCTTGCTTTTCTTGCCTTCGCCAAGGGCCTAGAATCGCGAGGTGTCGCGGCCAAACACCTCGGTGCGGACCCAGTTCAGGCCCACGAGAGCACGATTCTTCCAGCTCAGCTGCGCAGAGGTCTCGTAGAACTTCCAGGCAAGCCCAGCGAGAGGGCCAGTGATGGTTCCGATGATCGGCACGTCGAAGGCCGCCTGCCCAGCGCCCAAGTACGCCAGTGAGCCTTTGTGGAAGTATGTGAACGAGTCTTCGTCCCGTTGTGTCGCCGTGAGGCTCTCCTCGGTGCCGTCCAGGCACCCCTTTGCAAACAGCTTCGAAAGATAGCTGCCCTGCTGGGCTGCCACCTGCGCGGTGGCGGGAAAGCCCTGGAGATTCTTGTCGACACGATCCAGTAAGTCTCTGAACTCGGCGAAGTCCAACTTTTCGTTGTGATTGTAATCTATCTCGGCGATGTCAGCGGCCACTTCTTCTGCTGGCTTTGGCGCCGTCCGATCTCCGACCCGCTCTTTCGTTAGCCGTACCAGCTTCTTGAATGCCTTCTGCTCTTCGTCGAAACCTCGCTGAAACGTCCTCGCCAATGCAGCAATCCTTGGATCGTTCATCTGATCCAGCTCGACGGCATTGTCCAAGTACTTAGAATAAGCCTCGAGCTGCGGAAACTGTGACGCCGCCGTCTTGAACAGGTCGCGTAACTCGGACATGTCGAGCTCGCCATCTCCATTGGTGTCGCCCATCTCGAAGAGCTGCTTTGCGAAGGGGACCGTGCGGTCATGCCGTACGAGGCAGGCATCCCCAAGCGCGAAGATGGACCCCGAACTGCCCCGCACATGCATCCATTCATCTGTGACAATACCTCGGGTGGGCTTCATTAGAGCGCTGACGTTCCTTGTGTTGCCAGCATTGCGCTCAATCAAAGACTCCTTTAGCTTGGCAGTGAGCGGATTTTCTGAAATGCCTGCGGCCCACACAACACACCCGTATGGAATGCGGATTTCTGTGCCATCAGCCGCGCTCTTCATTTGAACAACGTCTGGCGTCACTTTTGTCACCCTGACTTTACTCATGACCTCCACGCCTTTTTCTTTGAAAACATCCATGCTCTTCTTGGACACTTCCGGATCGTACGTTGTCAGAACAGTGTCGCCAGTGTTGATGAGACGAATCTTGACGTGCTCAACGAGCGTTGGATAAAGGATGCCAGCATCTTCGGCCATGAAGTCGGCCAAGTCAGCTGCTACCTCAACGCCCGTAGGACCGCCTCCGACGATGACGAAACTCAACAACCTATCCCTCTCCTCTGCTGAGATGCACGGCAACGCAGCCCTCTCGAATAGATCACTGATCCGCTCGCGGACCTTCCGTGCATCGCTGACCTCCTTGAAAAAGTAAGCATGCTCTTTCACGCCAGGGCAGCCGAAATCACTCGACTGAGCCCCAACTGCGTACACCAGGATATCGTAATCAAGAGTAAATGTAAGCGTGCTTCCATCGCCGCCTTTGTCTGGGAAACGGTCAAACGCCACATCTACGCGGTTCTCAAGGCTAATACCGCGACTGCAGTGGACCTTCTTGCCAACTGTATCGATGGAGTCGCACCTTGCTTCGAGGAAGTCCGCTTTGCCGGAGATCAGGCGTCGCATAGGGGTGACGATTGACCTTTCCTCCACGGAGCCCATAGAGCAAGTGGGGAGCAAAGGCGTGTAAAGGAAATGATTTCGAGGCGACACCACTGTGATGTCATACATTTGGGCCTCATCGGCCTCCAAACCCTTAAGGAATGTCGCAGCACCCCAGCCAGAACCGAGCACCACAACCTTGGGTCGCATTCCGCTCTTGTGGCGTAGTTTGCCCTTCGGTTTCTCCAAGCCCTTCTGGGCAATGGCAGCGGCCGCAGCAACTGCAGCTGCTGCACCTGCACCAGTTGCCAGCGCCTCCCTGCGTACGTGCCCAACGCCACGGTACGACGCCTGACGCCTCGAACAAGCGGCCCCGGCGATAGTCCCCATTGCCGTTGCGATCCCAGCGGACACAGCCTGACTGGGACTGGGCCTGGCCTCTGCAGAGCTTGCCTGTCTTTCCTGAGGAGTGCCCCCGGGCGCTGGGCGCACTGCCAGAGCCGCCGATGATTGCAAGCCTGTGAATGCCAAGGGTGAGCCTGGAAGCCGCTGTGGTCGTCCAACATGTAGGGTCGCCATGGCTCCCCCTCTCGTCCGATCTGCTGCGGGCAGCGTCTGTTGAAACGAAAGCCTCTGGCGCGCACTCAAACTTGAACTTCAGACGAGATTGCGACTTGAACCAACATGGCTGTGGGATACGCGGGCGGGAAGGAGCGTGGAACAAATACGCGCTGCAGAGCACGAGTGTATGTTGGACAGCGCTACGTTTGGATACGGGACACTTGTGCCCATCAAGCAACGCATCGCATGTATACTTCTCCTGCGTGCCTGCGAGTGCTGTCTGGATTGGCTCAACTCCAGAAGGGCTCATTCCCCAACAGGCAAGCCGCGATCGCGCGATCCCGTAGGCTTGAAATCATGGGTTTGCCAGCGAGGGTGCCTGCGGGTCTGCGTGCGCCTTCGCCAGAAACCGAGCCCAAGTTGCTTCCTTGCTTGCTTAGCTGTTCTGTGTGCGCCTGCTCGCTCAAGTGTCAGGGTATTTGCTGATGTTCGTGCTTGCGTTTCACGTCTGGGATCCTGCGCCATCAACTCCTGCCTGATGCCACGCCTCGATGGACATCCCGGCGTTGCCTTGCCTTACGCATGCGCGCGCGCCCTGCTCCCAACGGGTGCCCACATGAAGGGAGCATAGATTCCGGGCTTCCGCCCGGCTGGCCGCCCGTCGCCGCCTTGTCGCCGCTGGCGTGCGCTGGCGTACGCTGCTGGGTTTTACGCCCAATGGCCGCCCGTCGCCGCTTCGCTGCCTCCTCGTCCGAAGGCGTGCGCCTCCTGGTTTTCTGCCTTTGGATAATATCCACCCTGCCCCCATGCTCAGGAGGGACGTAAGGTCCCCCGCCTCCGCGCTTTGCTTTCGGACTCGTCTGCGCGATCGTTCGCTACAACAATCGAACCATACGACCCGGGCCAATACCCTTACACACTGGTCGGGAGAAGTAGGTAGAAACATGAAGTAGGAAGGCGGATCAAGTAGATTGGGTTCGGGCCCGCCTAAATAATGACAAGCAACAGCCAAACCATATCGATTATTGAAGTAGGAAGGCGCTTGAAGCAGAGCGGGTTCTGGGAATTCAGAAATACCTACTTTCAACGACCGATGGGTACCACACACGCCCCTCACCCCTGCCAAATCCGCCACCGTGCCCTTCAGGTACGAGCTGGAGTGTCCTCAGGTCCTTTTGCCGAATCTGTCAAGTCTCGGTCCTCAATCCTGAGGAGCATTAGGAGCCTGGACACCAAATTCACAAATCTAGTGGGGCTCATTGGCATCATGTCATGTGCTTCTTTCGGGGCCAAGAGGGCCCCAAGACGGCCTAAGAGACCCCCAAGAGGCGGCCCCGACGGTCCAAGGGTGCCCCGAATCGCTATACGATCGGTCCAAGACGCTCAAGGTGGCTCCAGGATGGCCCAAGAAGCCTTCGAGATGCCCCGAGAGGCCCCCAAGAGCCTTCCCAAGAGGGCATCGGGAGCTCCAGCGAAGGCCCCAGTGGCAGGATTCACATGCGACCCCATGCCCTTTCTGCCACACTCCTCATACGCTTCGTGGCCCCGAGGAGAGCTTCACCGAAGGCCCCAGCTGCAGGGTTCACATCCGTCCCCAAGAGCTTTCTGGCACACCTCTCACACGCTCCGTGGTCCTCTAGGGAGCTCCACTGAAGGCCCCAGTGGCAAGGTTCGCATGCGCCCCCATGCCAATTTCGGCACACACCCCAAATGCTTCGTGGCCCCAGTGTCACGGTTCACATGCGTCCCCCGGCCCACTTCGACACGTCGCTCATGCACACGCTTCATGGCCCCAAAGAGCTCCACCGAAAGCCTCAGTGGCAGGGTTCACATGCGTCCCGAGGCCAATTTCGGCACACCGCTCACACGCTTCGTGGCCCCAAAGAGCTCTCCACCGGAGGCCCCAGAGGCAGGGTTCACATGAGGCACATTGGAACACACCGCTCACACGCTTCGTGGCCCCACCAAAAGCCCTACCGAAGGCCCCGGTGCCAGGGTTCGTGTTCAACTGGCAATTTCGGCACAGCCTTCACACGCTTCGTAGCCTCATAAGGAGCTCCACCGAAGGCCCCTGGCATGCGTCCCCCCGCCCTTCATTGCCCCCTCCCGCCGCACGCCGCCCCCTGCCCGCAATGCCCTGTGCCTCTTCCTTCTTGCGGCGCGCTGCCTATGAGGGCAGAGGCTATGTTCCACGCTACTCACAGGTTGTTCGCCCACCTCCATCGTCCCATCTCCCTCGCGGCACTCGCAGCTACACATGGTAGATTCCTTCGCCAAACTCATTATTGCTATTTCCAGTAGCGGTCGTTACCAGGGCGGGGTGAGGCCCGGGCAATGGTAAGGCTTGGGCGGGATGGGGCACGACGGGGACGGGGTGCGCTGCGATCGCCATAGAATGCACACGAGCACCAGCATGTGGGGAAGGGTCCAGGTTCCATCCCCTTCGTTACGATCGTCACCATTAACCCAGGGGGAGGAGTTTGGCCTGGGCAACGACCATAACGCGCGCCAGAGGATACAAAAATGATCCTGGCGAAGGACCCAACCATAAGCAATTGTTCGTAACGCGTTGTGGGTGCGGCCTTCGGTGGAGCTCCCTATGGGGCCACGAAGCGCTACGCTGCTCAGGGTGAGGGAAACGCATGCGAGAGCAGCCACTGGGGCCTTCGGTGGAGCTCCCTATGGGGCCACGAAGCGCTACGCTGCTCAGGGTGAGGGAAACGCATGCGAGAGCAACCACTGGGGCCTTCGGTGGAGCTCCCTATGGGGCCACGAAGCGCTGCCCAGGGCGGGGGAAACGCGTGCGAGAGCAACCACTGGGGCCTTCGGTGGAGCTCCCTATGGGGCTACGAAACGCTGCCCAGGGTAGGGGAAACGCATGCGAGAGCAACCACTGGGGCCTTCGGTGGAGCTACCTATGAGGCCACGAAGCGCTGCCCAGGGCGGGGGAAACGCATGCGAGAGCAACCACTGGGGCCTTCGGTGGAGCTCCCTATGGGGCCACGAAACGCTGCCCAGGGTGGTGGAAACGCATGCGAGAGCCACTACTGGGGCCTTCGGTGGAGCTCCCTATGGGGCCACGAAACGTTGCCCAGGGTGGGGGAAACGCATGCGAAAGCAACCACTGGGGCCTTCGGTGGAGCTCCCTATGGGGCGACGAAACGCTGCCCAGGGTGGGGAAACGCATGCGACAGCAACCACTGGGGCCTTCGGTGGGGCTCCCTATGGGGCTACGAAACGCTGCCCAGGGTAGGGGAAACGCATGCGAGAGCAGCCACTGGGGCCTTCGGTGGAGCTCCCTATGGGGCTATGAAACGCTGCCCAGGGTGGGGGAAACGCATGCGAGAGCAGCCACTGGGGCCTTCGGTGGAGCTCCCTATGGGGCCACGGAAACGCTGCCCAGGGTAGGGGAAACGCATGCGAGAGCAGCCACTGGGGCCTTCGGTGGAGCTCCCTATGGGGCCACGGAACGCTGCCCAGGGTAGGGGAAACGCATGCGAGAGCAGCCACTGGGGCCTTCGGTGGAGCTCGATATGGGGCCACAAAACGCTGCCCAGGGTGGGGGAAACGCATGCGAGAGCAACCACTGGGGCCTTCGGTGGAGCTCCCTATGGGGCTACGAAACGTGTGAGAGGTGTGCCTGGAGCAGAGGCAGGGTTCACATGAGGCACATTGGAACACACCGCTCACACGCTTCGTGGCCCCACCAAAAGCCCTACCGAAGGCCCCGGTGCCAGGGTTCGTGTTCAACTGGCAATTTCGGCACAGCCTTCACACGCTTCGTAGCCTCATAAGGAGCTCCACCGAAGGCCCCTGGCATGCGTCCCCCCGCCCTTCATTGCCCCCTCCCGCCGCACGCCGCCCCCTGCCCGCAATGCCCTGTGCCTCTTCCTTCTTGCGGCGCGCTGCCTATGAGGGCAGAGGCTATGTTCCACGCTACTCACAGGTTGTTCGCCCACCTCCATCGTCCCATCTCCCTCGCGGCACTCGCAGCTACACATGGTAGATTCCTTCGCCAAACTCATTATTGCTATTTCCAGTAGCGGTCGTTACCAGGGCGGGGTGAGGCCCGGGCAATGGTAAGGCTTGGGCGGGATGGGGCACGACGGGGACGGGGTGCGCTGCGATCGCCATAGAATGCACACGAGCACCAGCATGTGGGGAAGGGTCCAGGTTCCATCCCCTTCGTTACGATCGTCACCATTAACCCAGGGGGAGGAGTTTGGCCTGGGCAACGACCATAACGCGCGCCAGAGGATACGGCGAAGGACCCAACCATAAGCAATTGTTCGTAACGCGTTGTGGGTGCCGCTTTCGGTGGAGCTCCCTATAGGGCCACGAAGCGCTGCCTTGGGTGGGGGAACCGCATGCGAACTGCGCCACTGGGGCGGGCCTTCGGTGGAGCTCCCTATGAGGCTACGAAACGCTGCCCAAGGTGGGGGAACCGCATGCGAACTGCGCCACTGGGGCCTTCGGTGGAGCTCCCTATGGGGCCACGAAGCGCTGCCCAGGGCGGGGGAAACGCATGCGAACTGCGCCACGGGGGCCTTCGGTGGAGCTCCCTATGGGGCCACGAAGCGCTGCCCAGGGTGGGGGAAACGCATGCGACAGCAACCACTGCGGCCTTCGGTGGAGCTCCCTATGGGGCTACGAAACGTGTGAGAGGTGTGCCGGTAGCAGAGGCAATGAGGGGGAGGAGGGAGGAGGGGGGGAGGAGGAAGAAAGGAGGGAGACGCGGGGCGCTGTCTCTTCAAAACGAGGACCCAACACCACAGGATGGTTGGGAACAATCTCAATCGCCAATACTGGTGTTGGTACGAACCTCTAGGCCTCCGAGCTGCCGCCCGCCCCGCCCGGCTGCCTTCCAGTCGGCGGTCACGGCGGGGGTCACGGCGGCGGGGGGCGCCACCGCGGCGGCCTCGCGAGGACGAGCGCGGGGCAGGCCGAGGGGAACACAAGGAGCGCAGGAGGCTGCACGGGCTGAGGAGGCCGAGTCGCGATGAATGAAGCCGGAGAGC